TGGAGCTGAATTATTTTTATGTGGTCCCAGACTTTTTGGGATGATTTTTGATTCAAAATTTAGGATGAAAAATGCAAGAAAACTTAGAAAGTTTACTTTCAAAATATTCTCAAAAAATAATAAGAGCTACACTAAAAAATCTAAGTCCAACAAACTTTAGATTTTTTTGTTACCTNTGCCGGAAAGTGTACCGTTCGGTGTAAAGATTTTAGTAAAAAATGCCGTTGACTAGTAAAGGAAACTAAAAATTCGAAAAAAGTTGTTATTTGCGCGTTGTCCCCCCTTAACTTTCTTGGTATTCTCTCACCTGTTTTCCTTTCCTGATTGACTGCTTTCCTGCATTGCTTTGTCCATTTGGTCCTGGCCATTTTGGAACAACATTTTAGGCCTGTTTATTTGCTTTTCCATTTATACTCTGGCTGACTATCGGTTTAGAAGACACATTTCAAGCAGAAACTTGCTATATTTCGAGTATACTTTTGGTCACATCACAAATAAACCCTTTTTGCTTCAAACATTGTGCTATTTACTAAAAAATATTTAGAGTCACGTAAAAGATACTTTTTAGTACATGTCAAACACTTCTAAACTGTTAAATCAGATAAATTGTTGTACTTTGCATTTGAACTCACAAAAGTTAAATGTTTAGCTTATGAAGAATATTAAAATTATTTTAATTTTTAAAGAAAAGGACGCCATCTATTGATACTTTTTAATTGTATAAAACTTATTTCTTACCGAAGTTCATCAATGCTGCCCTTTTGGATCAAATGGAGGTAAATTATTGGTGGTGTCGATTTGAAGGACACGAATGAACTCCTGACTGACAAATATGATGGCACACATGTTGGATTCATTGTAGTGAGAGCACGAAAAAACGGTCGCACAAAGCTCGCCAAAGTGAAAAGTAAAACCGTTTGCTGGGACCTACAAAGTCATACAAATTGTAGTCATACGGAAGCTGTAAAGCAAACTTATTACCTCATGAGCACGAATAATATGCGTCAGGTTGTTTGTGCGAAAGAAGTTCTCCGCGGCTTTTTGCGCAAAGAACCAGGCAGCCCCACGTTTAGTGTTGCGAACGTAGCCATTCTGAACGTTCGGATCCTGCTGAAAGAGGGCGCAAGTGTACTGGTACTGCATCTCATCGATCGGGTCTGACCAGACGATCTCCCAGAAGAGCTCAGAATCGGCTTCAGAGCGAATCTCTTCGGGCATTTCGCGAATGGCCTGCAGACTGGTGTTCAGACGAGGGATGCCTCCATGGGCACAGTAGATGACATCGTCAATGATCGCACAGACGGGCATTCGACTGAACGCCAGATTGAGCATGTCAAAGATCTCCAAGCCGCGTTCAGGGTACTTTCGAATGCACTCTCGTTCAAATGAGTACTTCTTCTGGACTGCTTCCACCTCATGATTGCCCCTTAAGCACGTCACCTTGTGCGGGAAGAGGACCTTCAGTGCGAGAACGTACAGAGCGCACTCCACACTCCAGGAGCCCCTGTCAACGTAGTCGCCCAGAAAGAGCACATTCGGGCCAATGGGCAGACAGCGCCAGAGCGTCTTCTCCAGTGACATTAGGTCCTCCAGATTGCCGTGCAGATCTCTGAAAAACAAAAGTAGTCGGTCATCAGGAAAAAAGGGTAATGTTTGATAGGTTGCTCACCCAATAACATAACACGGAGAGGTTACCTCGACGCACTTGCCTAGTTTGCAGTTAAAGAGTCGTAGAACGTCTTTCAGCAGCAAGGAGATAATCTCACAGAGGCGATTCTCATCATTCATCAGCACGCCGTTCGGACAGTCGATGGTGCCCTTCTCCTTTGCAAAAAGCTGTATCTTTCTGAGCAGCTCATAGGCGTTTTCATTGCGCAACGGAAGTGTCGGTTGCTTTTGGTTTGCCATGATCGCCACTACATTAGGAAAGCCAGCCCGGTCGGTGTACTCGAGAACGTTTGGATTGAGAATAAATCTTCGGCCAGTTGGTGTGCAGCCTGAACAGCGGTTGGCGTGGTACTTCTTCCTCTTCACCACCTTATCGAAGCAGTTTAGCTTCAAGTCGGCAACTTGCTGCCATATCTTCTGCTGCACGATGGCCTGCTCAAAGTTTGGAAAGACGTCTTGAGGAGAGCGACAAAGCAGTGTAGTGTTGGGCAGCAGCTTCGAGTCGACGGCGTGCTGAAAGTCAGCAAAGGAGATGCCGGAATTGGCGTTTGCAAAAACCTTCATCTGGCTTGTCACCTCTTTGAACTTTTCCTCAAAAGCCTTTTCATTGTCAAGTGGGCTAATGTCGTGCATTAGTTTGCGCAAATCATCCTCTGACAGCTGGCCATCGTGGTTTCTGTCGTAGAAGCGAAACACAAACTCCAGTCGTTCCTTGTTGTGCTTGCTTTTTGCATCCAAAGCCGCCAGCCCGATGAGCAGCTCGTGGAAGGTGAGGTAGCCCGTTTTGAGGTGGTTGAAGGCGCAAAAGAGGCGCACCAAACGATTATCGGTTTGGGTCTTTGCCTCAAAGTTGCACTTTCGCATGTACGTTTTGAAGGACTCCACCTGCATGGTGAGCGAGGGAAAGCAGTGCTCGAGAAAGTGGACAAAAAGCAGATCCACCTGAGTGACGGTGGCCTTCGCACTGGAGAGCAGCTCATTGGCGCCTCCCCCAGTGTTGCCGCTGACCAGAGCCCGAGCCAGAGCAGGACTGTAGCTGCGGATCTTCTGCGGCACACGGCCCAACTTTGACTTGGCTACTGCGCGGCAGAACTCAAACACCTCCGGGCCCCAGCAGGCTCGGGGGCTGCTGACACCTTCTGCAAGAGCGGCAAAGCTGTGCCACTTGATGCGATCACTGTTCTGGCAGCACTGATAGGCGTAGGACTGACCATCACCAGCCTTTGTGGTGTCTGAATACTTGTTGAGGATACTTCGCTGCAGGCGAACGTAAAAGACCAGTCTCGTGAAGAAGGTGTTCTCCCGGTCAGGCATCTGTACGCGCATCACCTGGAGGATGTATGCTTCACGATAGGGTGGAAAGGCGCTGAACTTCTCGAAGAGCTCCATGTCGGCGCCAGTAAGAACACGAAATGAGCCATTGAGGGCACTGATCTGCCAGGTTTGCTTTGCTGATAGTGGTGTGAAGGGAAGTGAGTACACCTCCTCCGAACCGACTGGCGTCTTCCGATGGCAGGCAAGGGCCACTTGCTGGTGCTCGGTGCAATGGATCAGGTGCAGTACACAGTCGTAGATTCGACCATTACTGGCCGGTGGAACGCCTTCCGGAGTCAGGCGGAAGACTGGTTGGTTGGCTGGGACTGGCTGATTCATCTGTTGTCATTTGAGTGACGATGTGTAAAATGATTCGTACATAGACTTACAAACAAACATTGTTGGTCAACTCATGTTCATAGAGAGCTCTTATCGTTCGGGAATGTTCCACTTTGAAGCTTTAAAGTTCTGTGAACTTAGTTAGCAGCCACATGGTTTTAGAGAGCACTAACCCGACTATTTCAGAAACTTTAAAGTACCTTAAGGTGAATTGGAGCCAGAACTTGAGAAACTTCAAAAAAAGGATTCAAGCTTTCACCATTTTTTGTTAACGATGTTTGTGTGCTTCTCCCGATGACTCATTTTGTCAAAAAGCGCCGTTGCGTCGGTTGAGTTTGTCTTGTTGCAACATCGCCTCACATTGTCAGTGTGCTCTCGAGTTTCCACCTGCTCATCTGTCGTATTCCATCTTTTCTATTTTCGCAACTCTGATCATGGCTCGCCGCAAGAAGTCTGTCAAAGCTAAGGCCAAGGCTTCAGAGAAGCTTCTGATTAGTGCTGGAGATGCAAACCCTGATGTGGCTCCTCCGGTTAAGAAGATTGTGATTGAGAAGAAAAAGAAGAAAACCAAGCGCAAGGAATCGTTTGCTATTTACATTCACAAGGTCCTCCAGCAAGTGCATCCCGATACGACCATAACCCAGAAAGCCATGTCCATTATGAATTCCTTTGTCAACGATGTCTTTGAACGTTTCGTCACAGAGGCCATTGGACTTCAGCAACGATGCAAGGGAAATACTCTTACCAGCCGCGAAATACAGACTTCGGTCCGTCTTATTTTGCCTGGTGAACTTGCCAAGCACGCCGTTTCGGAGGGCACTAAAGCAGTGGCTAAATTCATTAGTACTACCCCGAAGTAAAGTAGCAGAAGCTTTACAACTCAGCAGTGTTAAGTCTGCCATTTTCAGAAGTCAGTTATTACATTACACTACTATGTCAATACATGTTCACATTTATGTGGCTATTATCAATCAGAATAAATCAAAAATAAACATTTTTTATTAACAAATGAGTAATACTGTAGCAGTTCTCAAAAGAGTGCTTTGTGATGTGTATTATAAGTGGAGGAGATTAAGATAAAAGTATGGGAAATTAACTTGGGAATGAAGAGCAAAAAAATGTTATTTATCATTAGCAGGAACCCAGAAGTGCAACTCCTTGCCAGCAGATGCAAACATCGTGAGTCTGGGATTGAACTCAACGCATTTAACGGGAAACATATGGCTACTTTTCAAGATTAAAACTTGTTTGCCGGTCGATTGTTCCCAGAAGATGATAGATTTGCCATCGTCCGAACCACTAAAAATGAGGTTCGAGTCGGGGGAAAATGATGCTTCGAGAGAGCGACAACCTTGGTTGAGACGTCCATTCAGAGGGTCGTGTAGAGGCTTTCCAGTAAATGCGTCAATAAGGTGAATTAAACTTCCCTCTGCGTTGATCATGATAGACTTTCCATTAGGCGAAAACTTTAAGCTGGTCCAGTTGCCCCTCATATTTGATGGCAGTTCGAAGACTTTGAACGGTCCTTTTTCGTAATATCTCATATCGTACAGATTAATTGATTCACTGTTGATGCCAATTGCAAAGATCAATCCTTCTGGATCATAATTGACCACAGGGTGACCATCGAGCTTAACAAATCCTCTAAATCGTGACGACCTCAGATCCCAAAGTTTGGCCGTGTTATCTTTTGATCCAGAGAGGAAAGTGTCATCGTATGGCGAAATAGAAAGTGAAGTGACCGTATTATTGTGGCCTTTGAAGTAAACTTTGTACTGGCGAGAGTTTAAATTCAAAACTCGAATATGATCGTCCAATATGGTACTTGAATGAATCACATAATGGGGATGGGAGTTGTTTGCGTACTTAATTATTCCAACGCCATACTTGTAGCAATCGATGAAGGGCAAATCGATATGAGTACCCTTTTCACAATCAAATAGATTGATTTTATTAGTCTCGCAACAGATGGCCAGATTCTTGCCATCGCTTGAGAAGTCCATAGATCTTATTTGGCCTTTAACATTTTGAAATTTTCTCTCCGCTGAAAAAGTTGCAATGTGTTTTTCGAGCGACATTTTTGAATCTTGTTAAATTGTAGATAGACTGGGCAGGATCTTCTCGGTCTAAGATAAAATGACTGAAAATTAAAAACTTGTTGACAACAAAAAGTAAACAAGCTGAGAAAGCTGGCCGTCGTAAAGTACATACAAAGTCAGACTGCTTTTTAAAGCAAAGTGCCACACACAGAAGCTGTAACCATTACGAAAAGTGGCGGTAAGTGCTGCAGTTGTGTGGAATCTTGAGCGACGGTTTTTGCCATCAGCAAACTGAAGAATATTTTTAATAACAATAAAATGTTGTCACTTTCAGGAAAAATGTATGAAAAAACTAAAATTGGAGCACCTTTGATCTGCCAACATCGAGACGCTGACTCAGTGGTGCTTGTTGGGGCCATTGTTGCCTCGCACGGTGGTTCGTGGCATAGCTGACATGTTTGTTGAGCCGACGCCGCCTCTTTTTCCCTTAAACTTGATCACGCAGATGGTCATGTTGTCCTTGCCCTTGATGCCAGAGGGTGGCATCTCCTTGGGGAGAACGTTCTTGATGACCTCCTCTGTGATCTTGGCCAGGGGCATCTTCTTCTGAATGCGGCTGCCCACAAAGTCGATTACCTCCGAGTTGTCCATACTGTTCCAGATTCCGTCGCACATCAGCACCATGAAGCTGTCGGTGCTCTCGATGTACGGCTCAATGATCACATCAGGCAGCGGGATGATCATTTGCTCAATGGTGGACATGTTGGGCACCATCTTGAACATGTGGTCGCCAAAGGCACGGGACACATTGATGAGCTTGTTGATGCGCCCGTGTACCACCTCCCCGCCTGCCTTCATGATGCGGGCGCACTCGTTCTGCAACGTAAAAGTAGAAACAATTGAAAATTAAATACCTAAAGTGTATATTAAAAACATACGGCATCATCTGGTTTGTTGTCCTAGTGGGGAGGGAAACGAAAATTAAAATGGAACACAAAATCCCAGCAAAGTCCGAGCACTTACAATAGACAAGGGAAAAGCCTTGCCATTGCGACAGAGGACACATCGAGTGTCGCCAATGCTGGCACAGTAGAAAGTGTCCTTCTTCAGCAGACAGACGACGGCAGTGCAGCCCGAGGTGATGCCCGGCTTGTACTCGGGCAGCTCAGGGTGAGCCTGGCGGCGGATGGCACGCAGCTCATTGACGGCGTCCACCAGCAGCAGCTGCCCGTCGAGCAGACAGAAGGCCTCCTTTAGGCCTTCCGAGACACGGCCTCTCTTGTACTTGCGATTTTGGCGAATGTACTCGGGCAGGTACTTGGCCACGTACGCGGCCACCTCGATGCCGTTGTGTCCGTCAAAAACGGCAAAGAGTGACGTGTCACTGTCAAAGTTGGGCAGAATGAGGTGCACGTCCTCTTGGGTGTTTCGCCAGCCCTGACACGACGTCGAAGCGTACTCGTAGTTGGCCGCCGTGCCGCTGCTGGTCTCCATCGTGCGAATCGCCTCCTTCAGGTAAACGTTGGCCATTCTGGCAAAGTGTTGCACTCAAGTGACAATAGAAAAGGTGATGGCAATGACAACAGAGAACTAGACAACTAAATCAATCGATGCTGACAGGAACTATTTACTTAGAAATACTGAAATGAAAGTTCGAAATGCTTGAAAAATTAAAATATTGTTCTAAAACCAAAATCGTTAAAAAATTAAGCAATCGATATATTAATTTGTTTCTAGTGCAATAGGTGTCGGTAAATGTGAATGATTATCAAATTAATTTAATTAAAAAAACTAACTAAAGTTTGTTAAATTAATTTATGAAACAATAGTTTCCTGTCCAGAATCATCTACTAAGGAAGATCATTAATTAATCAGTACACAATTAATTTTGCAGCAACTGGGACTCATTTAGTTGCAGGGGTGCACTGCAGATGTCGGGCAAGTTTCGCTGAACTGAGAAAATTCAAAATGAAAGGCGCAAACAACTGGAAAACGACTCTTTTGTTTGCTTGCGTAAAACAAACGTCCCTTCTTTTGAGTTAGCCACGGTTGTGTGCCTGCCGTTTAAGTGACTGGCCAAATGATGATATTTTGTTTTCTTTCTCTTTCAAACAAACACGAACTTGCTTGTTAGATATGGCATGACAACGTACAACATGGAGCATCAAGATACGAATCACGGACATATGGAAGCACATTAAGGCGTAATTAATTAAGTTTTAATAGAGACCAACCTGATGGGGCTAGTGCAGTGTTGTTGGTGCAATTCTCCTTTTACAGTGGTACTCGTTTGTTGTTTCTATTTTTGCTTGCCAGAGCTAAGCATTCAAACGTTCAGAAAAAAGACTGCTTAGGGGAAAAATGCAAAACAGGCAGATGTGCTGCAAAATGAAACATTCAACACGGATCAGGAAAAGGGAAAAATGAAACGATTGACCAAGCTCGTCACTGAAGCACAGCACACGAGACAATCAAAATAATCCTCAATCCGCTGCAATGGCATAATTAAAGCGAGTAGTTAATTTGAATTAATCAAACATCAGTCTGCACTGCTGTTTACCTTATTTGCACAGATAGGGTCTGAAAATAATTTGATTAGATTGGTATCAAGAGGGCAGATAGGGAGAGAGCAATGTCAGTGTTATCAGCATCAATTAAATGGCGTGCGGTGTTGCCCATTGCGCTGGTCGTTGGAAGCCTTTTTTTATTGATTTTTATATGATTAGTGTCTGTCTCGGTGTGCCTTTTCTGTGTTTTGGTGTTTGCTGTAGTGTCTAGTGCTGTAGTATGCTAAACAAATTGAAATCGGTTTGCAAGTGACAAGAGAGGGACAAGAGTGGGGCACAGAGGCGGATGAGTGAGAAGGGGGCACAGTGAGATGATCACATTGAAGCAGACTAGTGGTGGCTTGTGGTGGCCAACACTGGCGATGAGCAATGAGCATGATGGGTTCATAAAACAGCAGCAGCAGCAGTCGCACTCACTGACTTCGGCACTGACATTAAAGGCAGTAAAACTGGAACTTTATTCGACTGCGACTTTAACGACACTACACAGTACGCTCTTATTGTGAAAAGAAGGATGCTAACGATGATGACGATAACGATTACAAACGTAATTCGACTCGCTGTTGATGTCGATGATGTTACGGCTGCCGTTTAGGTGATGCTCTTGATGCTTCTGATGCACTAACACCGGCACTGACTCACTCTTTCATCCGTATCATCTCCGGCATTGTCTTTGCAGTCAACTTTGCTGCTGGTCTCACCTAGCATCAAGCTAATAAAAATTTAATTTAAAATCTATCTGAAATGAGTCTGAACTGAAAAGGTACAATGTGAATTTGTTAGACCATGTTGGCTATACCACTGACCAAGACTGGCTACGTCTGCAAAGATTAAGTGCGACGCCATGTCTGGCTCGTAAATATTAAAAACGAAAGCACAAGAACAGTGTTGCCGCTGGTGTTGATGCTGGTGGCACTGACACTACCCAAAAGTCAGCCAATCGAATAGAAATGAGCACTGCAATAAATGCCGTTTCTTATGTGTCGTCCCACGTCCTCACTTCTTCGCCGAGTGNTGTGTTTGCAGAAAAACGCAAAAAATCGCAATTTTGGCATATCAAGCATCAATTTAAAAAAAATTAAAAAGTAATTTTGCAAATGTCGATTGACCGATCCCTCGGCTCTTTTGTTACCTTTATTTTAAAACCAAGAACACAATTTTTGCACCAAAGGTGAGCGAGTATTCCTGCACCGCGTTTTTNAAGTCAGCCAATCGAATAGAAATGAGCACTGCAATAAATGCCGTTTCTTATGTGTCGTCCCACGTCCTCACTTCTTCGCCGAGTGATTCTTCACCGCCGGACATTACTGGCTCTAAATTATGTAAGACTGCAGCCTTATCATTGAGCTCAGCACTCCATTCAAAGCACAGTCAGTTAGACAGGCATGCATGTTCAGCGAATTTGGACAATATTATAAATATAAGTGTCTAATTCAATTAAGGTTTGCTGCAGTGCAGTGCTCTGGAAGAAGGCTCAGAAGAAAAAAAAGAAAAGATGAAGGCAGCAGGCACTTCACACGCACAGTCGTGTCCAATTGCCACTTNGGTTTGCTGCAGTGCAGTGCTCTGGAAGAAGGCTCAGAAGAAAAAAAAGAAAAGATGAAGGCAGCTGGCACTTCACACGCACAGTCGTGTCCAATTGCCACTTGGATGTGCCCAGTAAGTTAGCAGTGAGTTGCATTTCATCAGAGAGACTGGGCTGAACTTGGTTGGCCAGAGCAGATTGTCTGGCCCACTGTCAGACTGCCAGACGGCGACGGCTACTGAATTGATCGTCACTGAACATCAACTCGTTGGC